ATCCATTTTAGGGAAGATAGAGAAGATGGCAGGAAGGTAAAACAAAACCGAACAGTATTTTGATTTGCTTGTATTTTGCAGGACACAGAGTAGTTAAAATTTTTAAATTGTAGACTTGCACGATACTGCTTCTGTTTCCTACAACCTATCGCGGTCTCTGTACACACACGTGTAATACATATTTTATCTCACCATCCTGAACTATTGTTTTTATATAATGCCAGCCAATTGCGATACAGCGCAGAATCTTGTGGGATCATCTCCACGTGAATGTCTAATGTGTATATAAATGATAGGATTCTGCTCCTGCCCACCCAGAGAGATGAAATGTTTCCTTCTTGCTGACTCTCAAAAGCTCTCTGACAATCCAGATCTCGGGAAAGTCTTGCAGGAAAGAACAGCTCCCTCGATTTATTTTGTTTATTTAATATGGAGATGAATAATGCAGATTTTGTTTGCATGAATGTCCTTGTGTGGCAGTAAACATTAGACTATTAGCAATCATTACTTAAAAGTTGCAATTTGCACCTTAATAGCACAGGTTATTTACATGGGAAACATATTCAGCAGGGACCATTCTGAATACTGCAATGGAGTGTGGAGATGACCTGAGCAATCTGCTTTTCAACCTCATGATGGAAGCAGCTGGATTAACCAGGGAGGTCTCTGGGTGGGGAGGGGGCAGGCGGGGAGGGGTGAAGTTTACCTTTAATTTACTGGCAAGTGGGATGAGAGTCAAGAGAATAGAAACTGGGGTGAAGTGGGGAAGGGACCCTGAACCTCTCACTTTGCTTAAACATACTTCTGAGTGCCAAGCTCACATCTTGGAGATGTAAATACCACATGCTGTAGACCCCTTCGCTTACCCATACAGTATGATTTTAACAGATGAATGGAAATAATACACACACACGCCCCCAAAGGGGTTCAGCAGCGTGAACTGTTCTGGCTATTCTGGTTTTTTAAGGCAGATTCCTGAAAAAAATGAAGGACAGATACCTTAGAAATGCACACTCCACACGGCGTTTTGGAAGGAGATTGATTACTTAAGTGGTCTTCTCCCCAGTCCTCTCTTGATCCTTCTCCCACCTCTCACCTCACCCTTAAAGACTCAGATTGAATGGGACATTTCAAAAGCCCATTTGTTTTAGGCATTTATTGATTTCATTTTTAATCTGCCATATCAGGACACAATACATTAACCCTAATCAGCAGATTGCAAGTGACAGGGAGTTTGAGGGGAAGCCAGGTAAGGGAGGGGGCCTCTGAGAAACTTCTCGACAGTGAAGCTCTCCTTGAGGCTTGGGGGTTGGACACTGGAGCTTGCTTTTGAGGAGGGTCGAAGCATTCCTCAGAAATACGATGCATTTATTTCTCTACCAGCCACCTCGATTCTATTGCGGCCTCTATTGGGAAAACTTCACACCCAACAAATACCTCCTAGGCATCTTTAGCAGGTCTGTCCCTTGAAGCATCTTGCCTTTTGTCACATTTTCCAACAGAGGGTTATGCTATCGTTTTATCCCAGCTGACTTCTCACTCATTTGATGGAATTTGTCCAACTGGATAATACCTGGGATGATCTATTTATCTTCCCAGTGGCTTGGGAATTGTACTCTCAATTGAGCAGGTTTTAAAGGGGCACTGAGCCTGGCGTTATTTAAGACCATTGATATAATGCACTTCTGCTCACGCCTGTAGCCGAGCTTAGGAAAATCAGCCAGGAAGAAAACCTAGGCCCTGTTCGCGTTGGTGCTGGGTCTGTAATTAGCTGACACGACCCGAGTCAAACATCCCGAGTGCAGCTTCCTCTCCTTCCTTCCCATCGCTGTGTTTGTCCTGTCCATTTTATTTAGGTATGCCAAGGTCTGGGCAGGCTCAGCCACTATTTCACAGGCGATGCCCGTATCCACCCAAGTTTCCTTTTCAAAAGCACAGAATTGCTTGACAAATTCTATATTAAGACCAGGCATACACAGAGTGTCATTTCCGTTTGATGCAAAGTCAGTTGGAAATACATTAAACTAACAGAGAGTGTCTTGCATCGCTTCCCTGAAGCAGTGCTTTTCATTACCTATTTAATTATAATCAAATTGAGCGACTTTTATAAAGAAAAAAAATCACAGTGGTATTAAAAGAAGCTTGGCACACAAATAATTTTATTGCTTCCCAAGTTGAGAACACTGTTATGTTTTTATTTCTTTGAGAGAAATTTATTTTTATTTTCTAATGTTGTGATAAATACAGAATGTGTTTTCTGTAATCTGTATCTACCTTCCTACACCCTGCTCAGCCTGGAAGAGATTTTTTCGAATCCAATTTTCAATAATTGGCAACAATTTGTATTTTTTTATTATTTTAAGTTTTATACGTTCCATTGAAAGTTAGAAATTCTCCTGTTCCTTAGGGGGACCTCTGGCAAGCAGCTCTTCGATTGTGGAGGAGCTTAGTCATCCTAACCACATAAGAAATAGCCTTGTGGAGGTTGATTACCTGGATACTGCAGGAAGAAAATGCCCCACATTTACAGGCCTCTGTCATACAACACTGTTTGCACTGCATTCACAGTTTCTTTCTTTCTTTCTTTCTTTCTTTCTTTCTTTCTTTCTTTCTTTCTTTCTTTCTTTCTTTCTTTCTTTCTTTCTTTCTTTCTTTCTTTCTTTCTTTCCTCTCTCTCTCTCTCTCTCTTTCTCTCTTTCTCTCTTTTTTTCCTATTATTGACCTTTCAGTCATTTGCTTTAGGAACTTTTTTCAGAAAAATAGCCTAGGGATAGCATTTAAAGTAGGTTTCAAGATACTCTGGGTTTTGAGGAAGTGATAATAAAAACCGGAGGCTTGACAGCGCGATCTCCACTCCTGGACTGTGTCTGCAGACTCCCAGGCAGGCGTCTGCACACACATGGTCCCGAGCCCCGCGTGGACCTTAATGAGTGTCTCCGGCCGTGTGGCCGTGTTCCTGGTGCTCATTTTGTCGGAGAAGCCGTCACGAGGGTATTGGACTTGGGTCCTTTCTGAAGACACCATATACATATGCAGACACACAGAAAAGAAATCTGAGATGCAGGCAGGAATTGCTGATGTATTTATTTTCAAAGCAAACTCCATGGGTGAAACGATCCAATAATTCGGAGCGATTTGAAGGCATTAAAGTAGCCATGTGGAATTTCCAATTGTTGCCTCTCTCCATCTTTTTGCATTCCCCCCACAGGAAAAGCTGTCCCCTGGGCATCCTCAAATATTTTGTAATGCCGGAGCAATGCCTGAAATTGTTTAAAATTTTAGAAATTAAAATTCAGGAGTCATGGGCAGGTAATCCTATTATTAATATATCAGTATTATTTAGCTATGCTTAACAACAGGGAGGTGTGCAATGCAAAAGTTTTAGAGATAATTAGCTTAGAGAAATTACTCGGGGAAAAGAAATACCTGAATCACATTTGAAAGCATTTGTCTTGAATTTTGCTCATCTAAATGAGAGCTACCTTTCTATCTGTGTTGGAACGCTACTCAGCAATAAAAAAAAGAAAAGAAAAGAGAAACTATTGATATATGCAGCAACTCGAATGCATCTCAAAGGGATTATGCTGATTTTAAAAAGTCAATTCCAAAAGGTATCAGATATGATATGATACGATTCTACTTATATAACATTTTTAAATGACCAAAGTATAGAGAATTACCAAAAGTTGCCAGGTTGCCAGAGGTTAGGGACTGAGTGAGGGTGCCATGGAGGCAGTGGCCCGGGGGAAGGTGGGCAGGTTGTAAAGAGCCAGAAGGAGGGATCCCGGGTGCTGGAACGTTCTGTATTGTGACTTTGGTGGTAGATACACAAGCCTATACAGGTGATAAAATTTCATAGAACTAAACACACACGATGTGCACACACACACGTGAAAACCGGTGAAATCTGAATCACGTGAGAAGATTGCATAATGTTAATCATTTCTCCCTTGTGATTTCGTGCTATAGTTTTGTACCCAGTTAGGGGAATCTTGGGATGTCTCTGAGTTATTTCTTACAACTGTCCGTGAATCTGTATTTATCTCAAAGTAAATTGTTTAATTTAAAAAAAAATAAGAAATGGGGTATGAGAGGTGGACAGAGGCAGATCCACGTGGCCTTGGAGATTTGATGGCACGCCGCGGGGAGGGGTTCGAGAGGGAAGCCACGTGATCTGATTGGTTTATTAGCAGAACATAGGCACTTGTGGTATTTCAAAGGTGGTGTGGACGGGGCATGCTGGCCCACCCAGCTGACTGCCTGGCCCCTCCGTGATGGTGAGTGGGGTGCGCCGAGTGGTAGAGGTGGCACCTGGAGATGAGAACAGGAGCCCAGCCTCTATGGAGTGGCTGGTGCTGGGATGGATGGCATCAGTGAGGCCGTGGAAGGGCAAATGTGAAGAGCCAAGCACATCTGGGATCCAGCTGCATCTCCTGTCTCCTTAGGGGGGTTCCTTAACCTTGCTGCACCTCAGTTTCCCTGTCTGCCAAATGGAGACGATATTGCCCCCCTCTCACTGTGGTGTGACAGTGAGATAAGGTGGTGTCCATGAAATCCTAGGTGCAGTCCCTGGCACTTACACCGCCTCTTCTTCATTAAAAAAAAAACACACCCCAAAACGATTTTATTCTTTCTTGTTTTTTGTTGTTTGTGTT